GTATGTCTTCTATTGAAAGAAGGTATAATTAAAATCTAGGAATCAAAAATGACTTGATGGCACATGATCAATCACTAAAATAGGATCAATGCAAGGTGCTTATCATTTAGAACATCAAGCAGGTATTTGTAGAAATGTGTATTTTCCAGTGATTCAGAATCAGTATCAGGTTACATTTTATATACTTAGAATATTTTTCCCTAATCCAATAGTGGCTTTAATGTCTTTCTTTAAGCATATATGTCTATGCAGCTGGACTAATTTAGTATATTCTTTTCCAAACAACTCCCATGAATACCATGGAACATTCTACTCTATTTTGTGAACCTCAGAGGGAAAAAAGCTCATAAATAGCGGAGAAAATTATTTTGATACTAAAGATTAAATGACCTATGGTGCCATTGGTATTTTTTATCCCCATTGTTTTATATTATATTGCTGAATTTCATCAGGACCATAGTCTAACCTTGGGTCTATCAGAAACCTGGAACTAGAAACTACTCTCCAAATTTTTGATTTGGAATTTGTGGTGTGAATCTTTAGAAATCTTTAGAAAGTTCAATGTTATTATCTTTTCCCTATGTGTAGAATTTGAATTAATACCTATTAAAATCTATTCACATAACATGAAAAGTGCAATGAGCACAAGGACAGAAAGCTGGATAATTTTATACAAGATATACAGTACTCTTTGACTTGGAAATGGAAATGTAAGAAGCAAGAAAAGGAAGATGATGAAGACATTGTCTTAAATATGTATTTTATTTAAAATGTTTTACTTTTGTTTGCTTGTTTGTTTTTCCAAAAACAAATAGCTTCATTGGGAAAAGGAGGAGCTCATTATCAGAACTGTGGGAAGATGGAATAAAGAAGTATAGCCCTATGGCAAGACAAGCAGCAAATAAATTTAACAAATAAGACAAATAAATACAAGAGACTTTCTAAAAAAAAGTTTGAGAAAATAATAGGAAACATATTTATTTTAATTTTATGTATGTATGTACAAAGGAAAAATGGAAATGATATTCCTTCCTTATTTGTCTTACCTAGTATCTTATCTTTGTTTCAGTAAAGCAAAGATGCACTTCTCCATGTTTTCTTTTTTTAAAAGCATACAGTTGGTACAAACTTTTTAAACATTGTGGATATTTGGGGAGAAGCAAGTATCGTAACCATCTGGTGTCTTATATGCCTGCCTTGTTCTCTTTAGATTTCATAATCTAATAACCTAACAAAGCTGAATAAAACTTCTTATCAACTCATTGATTGTCAAAATATATAAGTGTATTTGATAGGAAACCAATCAAGTTTCCATAAACACCTGGAAAATTTTCAAATTCAGTTCCTTGTTTGTAACCAATCTGACAAACTGTGAACAGCTTTTACATTTCTGTAGTGAGATACATGTCCAGAAATGATATTTTCCAGAAAACATGTAGTAGGTCACAAAATAAAAAAAAATAAGAAACAATTCTTTAATCATTGTTTATGGAAAATACCAACACGTGTAGTAATTCAAGTCCATACAAAATATATTAATTATTGAAAGGAACATATGGATAGGAGTCTATACTTTTAAGAGAGGATAGAAGTAGAATGACAAGAATTTGGGTACAAATGGTAACCAAAGCCCCAATAACCACAGTTAGAAATTGAGACTTAGAACAAGGTGAGGAAGAGAAAAAACATTTTTTTCCTTTTCAGTGCTTTGCAAAATACAAGAACTATGAGAACATTTTCATCCTGGTGTATATCCAAGCAAGCCTCCTTTTGCAACAGCAGGTGCCACAGATCCTTAGTCAATGATAATAATTTCCAGGACACACATTTAGAGGTTTCATTCCTTCAAGTAGATAAATAAGATTTATATGTAGTTTTGTATGCAACAGCAGGCTTTAAATTTGGAAGCATGGAGAAAGCAATAAAGTTCACAGAATGGAAATTTACTTGAATAGTTAATATGAATTCAGCAGTATTTTGTTTGATAGAATAGTGGACACAGAACTTTCTGATTTTTAAGTTTATTATGAACAAAATAAATAATGCATCTCTCCATGTAGATGTTTTGTACAGAACGATTCTACATAGTTTTCCAAGACATTTTTTCCAATTTATCCAGTATTATGTATAGATTATCTAAAATATTGGAGGTTGTGTCATTTTTGTAGTAGCCAAGTGAGAAAATGAAATCTTATTATCACAAGTTGATTCTACACTTAAAAGCTCCCATTGAAATCATTGGATCTAAGTTAGTCATAACCAATGTCTCATTGATTTAAATGTAACTAATCAGTAGGATGAAATCTGTAATCAATCAGAATGAATGAAACATGGTAGGCAATGAAGTACCAAATGTGCTTGAAATTACATTTCATGCATAAGTAATTGAAACATAAATATTCAAGCTATTAATTCCATACATTAGTACTGTAGTATAATGAATACGGAACTGGAGGTTTTAAAGGATTCAGTAGAATGTGAATGGAAAAAGAGAAGTCTTTGAATAAGCTAGCAGTATAAAGCCTTAATAAATTTGAATCATGGTACACTGAACACTCACGTGCCTGTTTAAATTGTGGAGATGATGCAGTTGTAGCTTTTCTTGCTAAAACCTCATTGTGGGGAGTTGCTAATAAGTCTAGAGTTAATGTCCAAAGCTGTAGGCAGGATATTGTATGTTATAAAGGCTTTGAAAAAGACTTAATGTGTAAGTCATTTATTTTGTCATCTCTGGCATAGAATATTTGTTTTCAGAAGTTAAGAATTTGCTCTGTGCTATGTTCCCATTTGTATGCTTCTCTTTGTTGGAGTCAGAGAAAATGATATGGTTCATTGCAAACATACTCTGAAGCTTGAGACATTTTTGTTGTTGTTGCTGGGCCTATGTATTCTTAATTAATTAAGACTGTTGGCAACTGTGATAGTTATTTCAAGAGTCCTTTTCTTGTTGCACTTGCAGTAATGAACAGTATATCTTAAAACATAATTAAAGTGGTTATTTCCAATGTTTGTAACCACTGGACATATGCATACTGATAACACAGAGAAGAGAAAAGAACCAAAACCTGTAAAAACTGTGCCTGATTTAATTCCTTGTGACTTAGTTTTACAAATTGTCTTAGTTAAATTGGAATTTAGGAAGATGGAATAGACAGCAAAGCTAAATTAATCTGCTAAGAAATTCCATCCCTTGTTTAACTGGAAAAAAATTGTATAAACCTCTGTCTTTAGAGCAGTAGTTAGTTGGTTACAAAGATGTTTTAGCTGACAATTTCTGATATTCAAGAACTACCAACGATCATATGTCTTGAAACTGTAATAATATTTTAAACGTGTTAAAATATTAAGTGTAGCTCATTGTATAGTTTTTGCTTTTCTCTATTGTCTGTAACAGTATGTGACACATTTGTTAAAAGAGAACAACCTGTTCCTTGTTTTACAAGGTGACTTTGAGGTGTAACATTCCAATATGAATGGATGAACTTCAGGAGGTTAATGAGTAAGTGGGAAGAACATGATATATCATCAGCAGGGGAAAAAATTGAATGCTATGAGTATTTGAAAGTTATTATTTCTAAAGCAGGTAATTTAGCATGCACTGTGTGCATTGGCTGTGAACATGTGTGCGGTTATGCACAACTGCAAGTCTTATTCATGTACAACTCAAATAAATTTCACTCCAGAGAGGAAAAGGGATACAAAACATGTCTTTCAAATTATTTCTTGGTATGATACCAATGGGCTAATTTAAACTATGCATTTGCTTTCTAGTGGTTTGACAAAACCTATGTTGTGTAATTGCTTTGTATGACTCATAGTCAGTTTGAGAGAACATAAAATGATATTTTAATGCTCAAAGGAGTTGATGTACCAGTGGGATATTCTGTGCAATTATGCAACATATATTTGCATGTGTGTTCATAATGCAGGACAATTCAAGCTTAATTGTGAATCCTAGATTTACAAGGGTCCAGATTAAATATGTATGTGGACTTTACTAGTTAAAAGTGTGTTTGATGTTGTTTGAATCTTTGCCAAGACAATACTCTTCCCAGCAAATTATTCTACATCAGCTTACTTATAGATGTGGCACTTATATCTAGAATACATAATTATGAGTTATGAAATGCATAGTTTGCTTATTACATTTTCATATGCAAAAGCAATTCCATTATTAGAATATATAGGAAATGAAATCAATTTTCAACTTTTATTTAGTAGAGCTCAGCCAATCCATTACTTTGTTTTGCTGTTTTCACATTTCTGCTTCCCTTGATGATTTTTGGGACAGCCGTGCACACTGTTTATTCATGTAGTCAGTCTATTCTCACTGTGTGATTGTTCTTTCTGCTTTTAGTCACTGTACTGTCCCCCCCTCTTTCTTTCTTCATCTAAGATAACTTTTCTCTTCCACTTGTTTGGCTTCAAATAATGTCATGTGTTAAATGTGATTGACTTCTCTGTAGTGTGATTTAGCTCTATTGTGACATTTTGAGAGTGTCAGATAAAAATATTTACTGGTTATTCTAGAAACTAGCAACTAAAAATTAGGTGGCAAAAATGGATGCATGGAATGCAACCATTGTTGCTGCCAGAATCATGAATAGCCCCTTCTTCAATCCTATAAAAGCTTGCTTATGAATTTTGAGTCTTAAATTTAAACCTCAATCACCTCTAAACTTGTGTTCTTTGTCATGCCTAAACAGGCTTAAAACTGCTTTACAACAATTGGTAGGTATTGTTGTTTGGTTAGGAGCTCAAAGCCTTGTGAACTGACTTGCCCAGGACTATACAAAACATTAGTCACATGCAAACATTCCTGTTTGAGGAAATTAGACCAGTGTTCAAAAACTAAAGGAGAACAAAGCAAATTTGGTAGTAGAGTCAGCTCTGCAATACTATGTCTAGTTCAAACTTAAAATCCTTGATACGAAGTCTAATTATGCTTTTTTCCTTCTTCCCCACTATTGGACATTTCCTTCATCTGACTGCATATTTAGAAGAAATGCATATTCCTACTCCTATTACTTGTAAGTACCTAGTTGGATATAACAATTTCCTTAAGCATGCACACCAGAGCAGCAGGATTTTGTTTCTTTGTTTATAAAATATTTTTCTTGATTTTTTTTGTATTACTTCACTATTTTTAATGAGTACTATTAATGCCCATGGTATTAATACCCCCAGCCACATATTTAAAGGGGACAAAAATAGAAGAACACAAGAGAGTTGGTTCCATGTGCAGATATAATCTATACCCTTCTCACTCCATTTTTCCCCACTAGTCTTTGACTAGCAACTCTGTCTGATTAGGGCCAAAAGAAATGAATACCGTAACAGGCAGGACTCTTTGTTACTCTTTCTCACATTTCTGAAAATCAACACTGTGTATTAAGAAATCTTCATCTGGAAGCATTCTTGCTTTTTATTTATTTATTTATTTATTTATTTATTTATTTATTTATTTATTTATTTATTTATTTATTTATTTATTTATTTATTTATTTATTTATTTATTTATTTATTTATTTATTTATTTATTTAGCTATTTGGGCACCCTTTACTGAGAGTACAGATTGTGGGAAAGATAAATTTGAACATTTGCATATTCACAGTTCTAATCAAGATAGAACCATAAGGAGGATACTTTAAAATCCTTAAAAATATCTGCAGCCATGTGCTTCTGAAGCAATCCAATTAGAACTGCGATTCATGCCAGCACCTTGATTAAATATTGTTCCATTGGCCTTCCATTATTTGAGGTAAAAAACAGATATTGATCATATAATTCCTTAGCATCTCAAAGAAAGGTCTGCATCTATTAACAAGGCCAGAATTAAACATTTTAACAGATCTAAATCTAAGGAAGTTGCATAATCTAAAAGAATGAACGCTTCTTCCACAGTATTCAGACTAGCTTTACGTAGAATTCACATACAGGATATCATGTGCCATGTATGAATCAATTTGAAAGTCCACTAAAATTGCTTATTGTACTATTACTTCACTAACTTTTTTCCCAAGGTTTTAAAACATATCCTAGTATTTGAGTTCAATTATTTTGGGCTCTGCTAATCCTTAAATTATGCAGGGTCTTTGATTTCTTTTTGTCTGGCTTCCCTCATCAAAGGTTAATTTTTTGTTTTTAAAAAAGAGCCAAATGTGACTAGGCTGAAAATGAATCATGCATATGTTTGTTGAAGTTCATGTCTTTATTTCCAACTATTTATATATCTAAGAGCTATAATCTTGTTTTAGAATAACTTTTGCACTTAACAGGAAGTGCTATAATATTTTATATATTATTTTCTCTCAAAAGAGAATTCATAGAAGTCATATGATTTTCTCAATTAATAAAAGGCAAGAACCTTTTTTTTGTTCCTTTTTTTCTTGCTCCTTAAATTAATTCTTTTGCTTCCTGAAATGTGATTATCCTTCTGGTTCAACCTTAGTATGTCTATAACATTAGGTTAATATTACTCTAATGAATGGATTAATATTACCCTATTAATAGGATAATATTAAGTTTTGTCTCCTATTCACAGAGGAAGGACAGAATGTATGAATATCATTTGGTGTAATATAACCATAGATTCAATCTTCCTGTTCTTCACAGTGTCTTCCCAGCAAATAGATTCTCTAGCTCAGGGTGTCAAACTCAATTTCATTGAGGGCTGCATTAGCATTGCAGTTGCCCTTGGGAGGCCGGGTGGGTGTGGCCAGGGTGGGTGCAGCCTACCGGGTGGGCGTGGAGGGAGTGGGTGTGGCCTACTGGGTGGGCATGGCCAGCTCTACATTGTTCACATCAATGGTGCCTGTGGGGGCCTGGGCAGGAGTGGGACAGATCTGAGGGTCTCTGGCAGAAGGGGGTGGGACCAGGGCAAGTGCCTAGGCATGGTCCACTGGAGGAGCCTCACTGTTCCTCTCAGGCCATGTGGGGGGGGCTGGATGGTGGTGTGGGCTGCCCAGAGCCCTGGGCAACAGAGGTCAAATGCCCAGCCTGGCCCTCAAGCACCTGTGGCACCAAGCCCAGCCCCACTTCCCCAAGGGGGTACCCAGCTGAACTAACCTCCTCCTCAAGGCTGCTGCTGCTGTGCTTGCTCTCCTTAGTTAGGTTGTTCATGATGGGTACCAGGGCAAATTCAGAGGGAGACTGAGTGGCATAGATGGCCACCACAAAATTGTACATTGGCTCCCGCCTGGCTGGCCTGGGCCAGGGCCAAGACAGTGGGGGCCGTTCCCTCACTGTTTCCAGGATGGCTTTGCGGGCCACATTAAACCACTTTGCGTGCCGCATCCAGCCCCTGGACCTTGTGTTTGACATGTCTTCTCTAGCTCAAGGGCACAAAAAATGAAGCCCATCATTACCTGTTTTGCAGTCCTTACTGTAGATTCGTTTATAAAAATACATAGTCATTTATATACTAGGCCTAGCTGCAGAAAGCAGTAGAATTTCAGGGAGAGACAGTATTATTTCCAGTTCAAGTTTCCTTAAATGAGTCACTCAAGTGGTAGAAGTTGGAAATGGAAAACTGAGGGGGGAGTGAGTTTGGGGTGATGATAATGATATTAAGTTGAATCACAACCTGGTTAGGTTTTAAATCATCTTTTCATTCATAAAATGCTCATAAAAGCTAGTATTTTTTTTTAATACATGGAGCCTAAAGGTATATTTAACAGCTTCTGGATGGAGTATAGGTATTCTTGACTTATGACCACAATTGAGCCCAAAATTTATGTTGTTAAGTGAGACACTTGTTAAGTGAGTTTTGCCCCATTTTATGACCTTTCTTGCCACAGTTGTTCCCTGAATTACTACAGTTGATAAGCTAGTAACCCAGTTGTTAAGTGAATCTGGCTTCCCCATTGATTTTACTTGTCAGAAGGTCGCACATGATCTTGGGACACAGCAATTATCATAAATATGAACCAGTTGCCAAGCATCTGAATTTTGATCACATGATTATAGAGATGCTGCAAAGGTCGTAACTGTGAACTATAATCATAAATCACATTTTTCAGGGCCATTGTAACTTTGAATGGTTACTAAATGAACTGTTGTAAGTTGAGGACTACCTGTAGTGGTTTAGGCATCAGCTAGAAAGTGGGAGACCATAAGTTCACATCCCGCCTTAGGCATAAAGCCAGCTGGGTGACTCTGGACCAGTTACTTTCGCTCAGCCCTAGGAAGGAGGAAGTGGCAAATCACTTCTGAAAAACCTTGCCAAGAAAACTGCAAGGACTTGTCCAGTCGTTGAGAATTGGACCTGATTGAACGTAAGATATGATTCCTCTACCTTTGCTCTGGTTACTGATGACCTGTAATGTTAAGTTTTGTATCTTGCTTTTCTAATAATGTAGAAATTAAATAGAAATTGTAGAATAGAATAGTATTGTGAAATAGTCCATCATCAAGGCAGTGACTAGTTTTAGATTGGCTTAAATTTATATTGTTGCAGCTTTAGATTTTTCTTTATGCTACTCTAGAAATTTCACATTATTTGCTATTGGGGGAGTGCTATTATTTCCTAAAGGGAAAAAATTCACTATGCTATAGGCTAGGTTTTAGTTTTATCTCTTTGACAGAATATTGTTGAACATTCTTTTGAATGTGCAAAATGAGAACCCAGGGATTATATGCAACCTTTTGCATGCTTAATATCATATATCAAAGCATATATTTGGTTTCCATTGCAATCTCATACATAAAGTAATAAAATTGTTAAAAGAAGTGATTCAAATAGAATCATTTGGATAAATCTGTACCAACTATTTTGTGAAATGTCATCATTTACATGTTGAATCTGTCAAATATAGAAAATAAATAAAACATTGATTCTCCTTGCATTTTAAGAATATAATCCAGCAAGAATTGCTGTTATAGCATTTTATATGTTTTAAAGGTGCAGATAAATTTCTTAAGTCAAATCTTTGAAATGAATGGAAAGAAAACTGCACAACTGCAATAATTTTAGAAGCTTCGCATTTGGAAAAATGTATGATTACTGTATGTAGACTCCTTACCATTAAATCACAAGGTTTCCTATTGACAATCACTTGCTCTAGTACAATTTCAGCATACAGAGCTGAATTTCCTGCCTTTGTGACTTTGTGAACCTAGTATTGCCGTTTTGTAGCACTCTCTTCAGCTTGTCCTAATCATGTAAATTTTGGATGTTCAGCAGGAAGTATTGCACATCTTTTTAAGGATTTAAATCTGATCTGGGTTTCTCTGTGAATACTTGTTCTTTTTTATTTAGTTAGTTATTTTGCTGCTACCCTTCCTTTCGTCCAAAAGATTTTACATGTTACCTCAGTGCTTTCCCTTTAAATAGATAGAGCCAGATCTAGATGGCTGATTTAAATATTCTACAATGCTTTAAGATGATATCTGGTGGATTTCAAATCCTATCTCCCAGGTCAAATACTGACATGGCACCTACTATCTGATTCAAAGGTGAAATCAAAGTAGAGATTTGAACAGAATTTAAAGGTTTATCTCAGATGTTATATAATTGTAGTCATTGAAAGTCTAGTGCTTATTAAGTGCTAAGAAGTTTCAGAGAGGCTCTGTTCTTTATTGCCTAAAAATCCTTTAAATATACTACATTCTAGCTTTACTGTTGGTCACCAAAATGCAACACAGGTATGAAAACAGTAAACATAAGCATTTTTCTATGACATTTATCTCAGCACACACTGGTTTCATTCTGACAGTCATCTGAGAATTCTTTCTTCACCATTCACCTTGTAATTTGTGTAATGACCAAAACATAGGTATACACACACACACACACACACACACTGTCTGATAACTGGCAGGCAAAATTCTTCAGAATTTCACATTTGATAAGCCTATGATCTGTAAAGGATTGGCACTAATGAGATGAAAGTCACTTTTCCTAGATGCTTCAGTTGTGTTTATGGTCAAGGAAGGGAACAGAAATTATCACGGATATAGCTTGTCATGACTTTACAAATAGCATTTGAATTGCTTTCTTTGTGGAAGGTAAGCATTTCAGATAAATGC